TCTTATCTTCTCCTTCTAGTGAAACTTCTACTGTTTCTTGAGTCCAATATAAACAAAATAAAGATGATGCTTTATTTCTTTGAAATATTAAGAAACACCATTAATTCTATTTAATTCTATTGCTAAGTTATATGAGTGAAACAAAATATATGCTATGGTTTTCTAATTTGTTTATTTATTTTCATTTTCTCATCGGACCAGTTAACATTATGGAATGAATAGAGTAACATGCAACATGCATTGTTAAAAAAAGAACCTGAATTATCTTTAATTAATTAATATGAGAGCAAGAACAAGTGAACAACTATGGCTCTTTTTCTTATCATGGAAGAAAGAAAGCCACATGCAATATAGACTTCGAGATGCTAGTTAGGTTAAGTCCACAAAACAAGGACGATCCACGGTAAAAATCCTTTAAAAAGAAGTCGCTTATAGCAAGTCCATGTTATAAATGTCTTACAATGACCAAAACCAATACATAGTAATGGAATTTTATCTCACGTCATCACAAAATCCAAGATTTAACATCAAAGGAGATGATGCTACAAACACTAGAAAAAGATGTTTTCGGTGGTTGGATTATGAGTCATACAAAGTTATTGTTTAAAAGTTTTTATTCTTTATCTTTATAAAAATTATCCAACGACAAGCACCTTTTTTATTTATAAAAAGTTTTTCTTTTTAAGATTTGAGATCCTCTAATTGTAAAATTAGTAATTTTTAAAAGAAAAAAAAAGTAATAACTACAATAAAAAACATTAAGTTTAAATAAAATGTTTGTTTTTGATTTGATGTAATAAATATTTTAATACTCACAAGAATTTATCTATTTTGAATAAAAATTCTAAACCCTTAATATGAATGACTTGAGAAATAATTATGTTCTTTAGATTCAGTAATTTTATATATCCTAAAAAGATAAAGACATATTTTCACCATAACATTAATGGGAATTAGACATTTTAGACATAACTAATCAATAGTGTATAACTAATCAATAGTGTGTAAATATCTTGTTATTATTATGAATGAGAAATAAATATTTTAAAAATTAATATTAATAAAAAACAGACATAACTAATCAATAATGTATAACTAATCAATAATGTATAAATATTCTTGTTATTATTATTAATGAGAAATTAATATTTTAAAAATTAATATTAATAAAAAATACATATCATTAATATTAACTTTCATGGCAATCTATAAAGAGAAAAGATACCATAATCTTTTCTTGTCCTTTGAGAATCTTTCATTGCCAGTTGTTATTTGACAAGGGTCTTCCTTAACACCTGTATTCAATACTTGATGGAGCCTATGCCAAGGGGGGTTCGTCTTAGGATGGGTCCATTTGGTACTTAGGCTCAGCTTTTGATTGAGTAAATGCCAGGTTAGGTTTACCCAGAGGTAGGTCCCTTTGTCATTTAAGCTCCATGCTCGGCCGAGCCCATGCCAGGTTAGGTCCATCCTAGAGCAAGTCAATTAAATACTTGGACTCATCGTTTAAGCCAAACTTATGCTAAGTTAGGTTAATCTCGGGTTAGGTTAATCTTGGGACACGTATCCTTAGCACTTGAGCTCAGTGTTTGGTTAAGCATGTGCTAAATTAGGTTCACTCTAGGGTATGTCCTCCTGACACTTGAGTCTATTTAACCGAACCCATACCAAGTTGAATTTACCTCAACCATCTTCTTTCATGGAAGGGTTTAGCTCTAGCTTTCTCTACAAGAAACGAACTCTCTGGTTAGTCAAAAAGGCATTAATTGGTTTGAAATTTCTACATTACCAAGAATCACACATTCTCATCAACAATATTTTTTTCTTTCGGATTAGTGAGTTAGAGGCAGCCAGGACTGACTTAGTGTGGAACTAAAATTCTTCTTGATCTATCAAATAAAGAGATAGGTTTTAAATTATGAATTCATTTGCTTGGTTATATAATGATATTATATAGACAAATAAGCAAATGGGTAAAAATAATAATTATGGAGCTAATTGACACGGCGGTGCAAGCATTACCTATTATAGGGCAAAGGGACGAAATTTCCCAAGTTGCATGACAGGCGCACCATAAAGGCTAGGAAAAGGATATTTCCATAAGTGGCCACTGTCTGGTGATTCTTTCTTCGGAATCACCGGGCTGTTGCTTATCAAACATTGCAGGATTAAAGTGCAAAGTCACCAATGAATTGGAGCCAGACAAGAGAAGTCACTACGAACACTTTTTTGGAATTTAAGCTTGAGAGTAATAATTCTGAGGGGGCAAATTCACTAGTTCAACCAATAATTCTTCAAGTGGCAATTGAGATGGACAAATAAGAACTCCTTTTTAATTCTGGAGACAACTGAAAGAGATGTTGTCAAATCGATCGCCTCGAAAATTAGTGTATCCTGGAAGTGGAAGGGCTCTCGAGACTTGTGAGAATTAAGATTGGCAAGGACAGCATTTGATCTCAATTTCTCCTCAACCTCTTTTTGCTGTTCGTGGATATTTACCGGTCGGGTTTTTAACTATTTATATTTGAACTTGAATTTAAAATAATTATTTGAACCCAACTGAGTATTGATTTTTTATACTTAAATTTGATCTGATTGGTTTCGGGTATTTATAGGATATTCATAACTTGAATTCAAATAATATAATTTATAACTATTTAGTATATGGTTAAGTTGATATACATGTAATTTTTTAAAATTTTATTGTGATTTATTTATTCCAAGTTGGGTAGATTAATATCTTTATTAGAAATAAAATCTAACTTTCAACCTTGAGATTTTACTTGAAACTCGATCGGGCCTAAAAATTATCTATCAATTCATGTCAGTTGAGTTGGTAACTATCAATTTCAGGTTAAGTTCTCGTCCTCGTTTTTGCAGGGAAAGGGCTTTGTTGTGTGAGAGTCTTATTAGTAAAGTTTACATCTATCTCTTAACACTTTCTTCTTCTTTTTTTGTTAAACGCATGATACTTGAAATTAAAGAAATCCAATTGCTTTGAAAACTCGTTACCTCGTGGAAAAAAAAATATCGTGCATCTTTATAAGATTTTTTTTAATGATCATGGTATTTTTAACTTTTTTTATGTACATAATAACCAAATTTTTTTTTAAAAAAACTTATTATACCCTTTCTCATTAAATATTATTCATTAGAACAATGTTTTATTTATTTTTAATTTTTAATTTATTTTTTTAATTTTAATTTTATCTTTCAATATTAGATTTATTAAAAATTAAATTTTCATATTGTTTTTCAATTTACTTTTAATAATAGCATCTCAATTTTATAACTCGAGCTACAAGTTTGATAAGTTAATTTAGTTGAGTCGAGTTTTTTTTTAATTGATTTTTTTTTAATTTTATCATTCAATATTTGATTGGTTGGGAATTAAACTTTATAATTTATTTTAATTTACTTTTTATGATGTTATTTTTATTTCATAACTTGAGTTATGAGTTTAACGAGTTAACCATGGTTAACTTAAGTTATTTTTTTAATTGATTTAATTTTATCTTTAAACACTATGTATTTACAAATTAGACTTTATAATTTCATCTTTAAACTCGGATTAACCTAATCTAATATGTTATCATCTCAATATTTATAAAAAAAATCTTATTTTAAATATTTATTTTAAATAAAATTATTTTTTATTGGTTATTTGAGTTTACTGTAAACCTATTAGAAGATTAGATTACATTAAATCAATCCTACCATGGATTTTTTTCTACTATAATAAATATAAGTAATATCTAAACTTTTTTATCTTAAAGAAAATAAGTAAACTGAGCCGCTAAATAATGTGTACTAATAATATAATAACTTAATATTTTGAATAAACAATTATTTTGAGATAATAAAAAATTAAAAGCAAGATGATATTTTTGAAAAAAAAGAATAATAGTAATAATATTTTTAAATGGATCCCGTATAAATTTATATTTAATGATCAAATTTAGCTCATTAAAATTTGAGAATAATAATCATAACAACCAAATTTTCTTTCATTCTAATTTTCTACACATGATCCACACTCCAGCGAAAGAATTCATTAGAAAAGTCAAAAATCGAAATACAGATAACCAACCCGTTTAACAGACGGCCACGACTTCAATGGTGAAACATGTCCCCATGTTTCATTGCCCTGCCTTCCTCAAGGGTCCCCAGATTTGAAATTTGAGATTTGAGGCCCCTCGCCCACCTCGATAAGAGGGAAAAAACGCCCCACTCTTTGACAGCACGAAATAAAGGCCACGACCCATCCCATCGATCATGGGTCAAATCATATCATATTATTATTATTATTATTTAATCATTATTGTTCTATCCAAAAGGTGTGTGTATCTCATACAAGTTTTGTCCATTAACGGTAACTCTTTTTTATTTATTTTCATGTTTTTCCCTCTCTGGACAGGAATTCCAACGAGTTAGATCATAGATGGGAGAGGAAGATGGGATACAAGAAATTTCTTTGAAAGAACCGCGCTGGCTCTTCGGACCTCCTGTTCTCGTGATCCCTCTCAAACGAGTTTTTCATTTTTTCTTTCTTTTTCCACTTCTCAATCCCATTCACGCATACAAGAAAGGTTGAAGACCCGTGTTTTGTCTTGGGTTGGTGAGTTTTCGAGAAGGTTTTAGGTTTTTGAATTGAATGTTGTTTTACCTTTTTTTTAAGAGAAAAAAACAACCGTATCACTTTATATAAAAAAAAATTAAAAAAATTAAAAGATAAAATTTTATTCTGATTCTGATGGAGTTAAATAAATCATAAAATAACCTACCGAGTCATCTAGTGCTTGGTCTAACAGTGGAAGGAGTTTGTCTTCTTTCACTGTACCTGGATTCGAGTTCTGGCATGTATGTCTGTCACCCCGTGGTGCTTTACATGTTTATTGGATTTGCAGAGTATTCAATTGGCTGTTAGAATTAGTTGTGGTGCGTGCAAGTTGGTCCAGACACCTTACATAAATAAAATAAAAAAATTTAATTAAATCAACTCCGAAATAATCACATGACATCCATCCTGTTTTTATAACATGATTTGGAAGTCCGATGTTCGATTTGTTTTGGAAAATCTTTCAGATTATACCCCACTTAGCTGGTAATTGGCACTAGTTTAATTATGGGTAAAAAAAACAGGACGTCATTTTGTGATGTCAACTCATGGCTGTATCCCTGTGACGTGGGGTATAGTATCATGCGTTGCGTCTTCTATATCAACACTCGGCATTCCCACATTCGCTAGCTAAAGGTTGCCGCGGTCACGCCTTCTCAGCTGTGGTTGCTTTCACAAATTGCTCCCCCAAGAACTGTGAGGTTGTAGAAAATTATCAAGCAAAAGCAAAAAAAAGAAAAGTCATGGGAGAAATTGGCAATGTTGAACAATTATCTTTCCACAACCCTCCCAGTTCAGCCACCGGCCCTGAATTATCTCTTCATGTCATCAACGTTGCAGCAAGTTCCATGCGAGAAATGCAGAGCGCTGCTACGAGTACAAGCATGAGGGTTTATGATTCCTCAGATAGTTCAGGCTACCAGTCTGAGGTCAACCCACAAGAAGCTTGGCTTCCTATTACAGAATCAAGAAATGGCAATACTGTTACTTCTGTGTTTCATTTACTTTCTTCAGGAATTGGGATTCAAGCCCTTCTACTTCCTGTGGCATTTTCCATTCTTGGATGGTAAGTCAAGCAAGAACATTTTTTTTCTCTCTTGAAAGATTCTCCGACGCATGAATCAAAAAGCTATCTCTTACATAATTTTTTAATGTCTTGCTTGGTAAAAATAGTGTAGAAAAAGAAACAGCATAAGCTAGCAATTTTAAATGGTTGAGCTATAGCCAACTGGGCAATACAGAAAAGGGAAATATTAAATTAATGATGGCTTACTGGGTCATGGTAAATTGTCCAATGGTTGCAGGGCATGGGGAATTATATGCTTGTCGCTAGCATTTACCTGGCAACTCTATACCATATGGGTTCTTGTCCAACTTCATGAATCAGTACCTGGAAATGGAACTCGCTACAGCAGATATCTCCAACTTGCAATAGCCGCCTTTGGTTAGCACTAAAAATTTCAATTTCGAGGTAGATTTTCTTGCTTTTTTTGAGGTAACTTATGTTATTGTGTCCGTGAACAGGTCCAAAACTTGGGAAGTTGCTGGCTATATTTCCAGTAATGTATTTATCCGGGGGCTCATGTGTGTTGCTGATTATCAGAGGAGCTGGAACTATGGAGCTTTTCTTCAAAATGATGTTTGGAGGTGAGGCTACAAGTGAAGACAATCCATTGGCAGGGGCAGGGTGGTTTTTGGTCTTCACTTGCATGGCTATAGCATTGGCTCAACGGCCTAACTTGAATTCCATTTCTGGGTTCTCTCTTATCGGTGCAGTCACTGCCATTGCCTATTGTACTCTGATCTGGGCACTGCCCATCTCTAAGGGCAGGCCTAGTGGTGTATCTTATAATTCACAGAAGGCGGAATCCGGCATGTCTGAAATGTTTGATGTCTTGAATGCAATTGGGATGATAGTGCTTGCTTTCAGGGGTCACAATCTTGTGCTTGAAATCCAGGCAAGAATACTCTAATGATCAATTTATTACTAATTTTTACTTTTTAGGCTACTTAAATTAGTAATATATATAAAAATTGAAGGCCCAGAGAAAATATATTAAATTACATGACATGTCCTGCTCTCATTTGAGCGAGGAAAGCCCTTTAATATTTGTAATATCTGTACCTTTCTTAGCTTCTCCATATATAAAAGATTAAAGAGAATGTGATGTTTGATGCAGGGCACCCTGCCTTCAAGTTCAAAATGTCCATCCAAAAAGCTAATGTGGAGAGGAGTGACTCTCTCATACATAATAATAGCCATGTGCTTGTTTCCTATTGCAATTGCTGGATTTTGGGCTTATGGAAACAAGGTAAAAGCACAGCTTTCTGTTCTCTGTTCTACGGTCAATTTATTGCATCCCATAAACCTGAAAACTGTAGCATAATGAGTGATGACATATCATTCAACTACTTTTAATTTCAGCATCACAGCCAATCTTTTGCATATGCTAATTATTTGCCACTGCTTTGGCAGATACCCTCGAATGGAGGGATGTTGACTGCATTCATGCAGTTCCATGGACACGACACATCAAAATTTGCGAAGGGCCTTGTATACTTGCTCGTAGTGATTAACTGCCTTAGTTCATTCCAAATCTACGCCATGCCAGTTTTCGACAACCTGGAATTCAGATACACTTGCATGAAGAACAAGCGATGCTCGTGGTGGGTTCGCACCGGGTTTCGCCTTTTTTTCGGAGGATTGGCCTTCTTTATAGCTGTGGCTTTTCCATTTTTACCCAGCCTGGCTGCTTTAATCGGAGGAATCGCGTTGCCCCTTACACTGGCTTATCCATGTTTCATGTGGATTTCAATCAAGAAACCCCATCAAAAGGGCCATGGTGTCATGTGGTGTCTTAATCTAGGACTTGGATGCTTAGGCATGGTTCTGAGTGTTCTATTGGTCGTTGCAGCAGTTTGGAATTTGGCTACCAAAGGCCTACATGCCAACTTCTTCCACCCCGAATGATAGTTGATCATGAGTGTAGGATGCTACAATTTTTTGTATATGTTAATTCACTTAATATACCAAATTATGTATAAAATTTAAACTTTGAATTCTCTAATTATAAATCCTTGTATCAACGTCTTCTCTATTTTGAAGATGGTTTCACTTGCCAATCTATCATTTGATAATTTTCATTATCCTCATGTCAACTTTGTTAATCAATTCGTTTCACCATTTGGGTTCTGATTCCTTGCTCCCTGATCTAACGGGTCGTGGATCAGAGTATTTCTTATGGGTATATCTTCGGTTTCTTTACATGTACTAGTTATTAAAATTACAACTTGAATGGTAAACTTTTGACTCAAGCACAGTTTAAATAATGAGACCTGATTTTAAATAATTTTTTTAATAAATTTTTAAAATGATTTGTTGTGGACAAATTAATTAAGCCAAATTGACCTCACAAATAGGTTTTCCAAAGCCGAGTTTAATAACTTTTAAGCTTGAGATAAAAAAGATAGATATTGCGGTTAGAATTGTATTTAGATATATTTTAAAAATGCATTTAATTACCTTGAGTAAATATTAAATCGATCTTATTTTAGTGTTTTTTAGTTATTTTGATGTATTAATATATAAAATTTAAAAATAATTATTTTAATATATTTCTAAATAAAAAATAATTTTAAAAACACTCTACACTAACGTTTCAAAACGAATGACGAGGAGAATGATATCAAGTTCCACTTATAATCTTGCTTACTTTTTTTTTATGGTTTGGACAGTGATGCTAAAAATATCCTGCTTTCAGTGCTTTGAATTACTTTTTATACTAGAGTGAAAGACTTTGTATTTGGATTGTATTTAAAATCATTGATTCAAGTATAGGGAAAATTGTCAATAAGTTATAGCTTAATTGATATAATATCTCTATTATTCTAAAAAAAATTAGAATTCAAACTTTTTTTATAATAAAAAACTAGAGTAGAGAAATTCGCCTGAAAACAAATCAAGTAAAATACTCGGACACCTTGACATTATAAAACGAGATTTTCGTGAAGAAATCATTTTCCATTTAATGCATTAGTTTATGATTGTCGAAAGCCAAATTAGGTTTTGCTTTTTCTTCAGTGACACCACTACATGTGGAGCATGAGAAGATCAGTGCTAATTTGAATTTATGAAATTAAGGAAAGGAATAGGATGTCATTGCTGGTGTCATACGTGATGTTTTCTCATCCTGACCTCCTGAGCTTAGTGATATATATATAAGCCTCTTATCTACTACTTCCAATTAAGGCCTTCGGAGGTTTTTGTTGTTTGCTATATCTTTCTCACCAGCCTCAAGAACAGGTCATATCACAGGACTGTTACACAACACCAGGCCAAGTAAAAGCGTTGATCAGTGGTCTCCATTGAAGATGGACGACCCACAAGAGGCTTGGCTGCCTATTACTGAATCGAGAAATGGCAATGTCGCCACTGCAGTGTTCCATTTGTTATCGTCAGGAATCGGAATCCAAGCCCTTTTACTTCCAGTAGCTTTTGCCACTCTCGGATGGTGAGTGACAGCATCTTATATCTACTATATAATATATAGGATTGTTGATAATCTTTTGGATGAGACCATTTCTCAGACTCATCTGATTATAAAATGTGTTTGCTTCTTTAATTGATATTTGATATGTTTAGGTTTCATTTGGTCATGTTGTGCTCATAGATTAAGCATATTTTAGTCCAATTTTTAAAAATAAATTATTCGATAAAGATATTACTATATATATATATATAAGGTGCCAACTCCAATCCGCTTCAATTTCAATGGTTGTAGGGTATGGGGGGCGATAAGCTTGTCCCTAGCATTTACATGGCAGCTCTACACCATATGGATTCTTGTTCAACTGCACGAACCAATTCCTGGAATTAGAACTCGCTACAGCAGATATTTACAGCTTGCTATAGCCGCCTTTGGTTAGTTCCACTTCCACCCAAAGGGACCAAATAAAAATAGAAATGTTGCTAGAATCTGATTCATATATATATATATATAAAAGCTAATGTGGATTTTCAAAATACATAAGTGTAATTATTTTTTTATCCTTAAAAACCATGGCTTGGGAGTTGGGATAATTTCTATATTTTTGGACAACCAACATTAGTCTTTAAAAGATTAATTGTGAGTATATTTGTCTTTATAAAAATTTTAAATATAATGAAATAATTATATTGTCTTTATCTTTAAAGATAAAATTTAAAATTAATATATAAGAGTTTTTTTGTTTTTTACTTTTTAAAATACAATACAGTAAATTGATAATTTTACACTTGAAAACAAAAATTTTAAAACTTATATTTAAGAGTTTTTTAATCTTTTCACCTTAGTTTTTTTATTATTACCGAGTAAAGCAACGCGTGCAGCACTTTTTGGAGGTGAAAAAAGCTCTCCTGTCATGTCATTAAAATCACCATTGCATCTTTTTCTAGTTTAGTTAGCATGTGTTGGTCATGATTAGGTTGTTTATTGTTAACATAATTTTTTTTTTTTTTAGAAAATTAAAATTTGTCCTTTGTTTTATTGCTATTTCAACTCTAATTTTTATTTTTTTAATTTTTAATATTTTTTCTTGAGTTGTTTTATATTTTTTTTTTTAATTTTATCCTTGAATTCAAATCTATGATATTTTTTTAATTTGATCCTTATTCTTTTTATTTTTTATCCTTTTGTTAAAGTTGTTTTTGTTTTTAATTTTACCCTTTAATAAAAAATATGTGTTACCCTCTAATTTATTTTTTATTTTTATTTTGTTAATTTTTATTTTTTGTTTTGAATCATTTTATATAATTGATTTTTTTTTCAATTTCATCATGAACGTTTGATTTGTTAGGAATTTTACTTCATAGTTTTTTATGTATGTTGCTTTCAATCTAATCATGTAAGTCATGTGACTAAAAATTTAATACAAATTGATATTTTTTCTACTTATTTTTTTTATTTCATCATTTGACATTTAGATTTTTTTTTATAAATTGGCTTTGTATTTTTTTTTATATTGATTTATTTCGATTTCATGATCTAGGTAAAAAGTTTAATGGGTTAACTCAGGTTAGCTCTCACCTTATTATTCAAATTACATATTTATCATCCCAAGTTGGATTGAATTGAACAGTTTTTTTTGTTTTATCTAATTTTATCATTTTATATTTAACTTGGATTGACTTGAACAGTTTTTTTTTTTGTTTTATCCAATTTCATCATTTTATATTTAATTGGTTGAAAAATAAATATACCTTTTCTTTACTCTTGAAAAAAATAATTTCTCAACTTATCATGATTATTTTTTAAAATTTTAATCTTTTTATCATCTAATTGAAAAAACCAACTTATTTAACCAATCAAGGCTATAATCAAAGTCTTATGTTTTTATTTACAAAAAAAAAAATCCGTATGCATCATTTAAATATTATATATATATATAAATAATAATAATAACCCATATTGCAGCATCTAGTCACGTCAAGTATTACATATAAACTTAAAAATAGAGACTCTATTTAAATTCCCTCTCTAAAATGCCTCTATTATATGAAACAGTTGTCTTTTTGAAATCTTCATATATTTATTATTTGAGTGTAAATCGTAACTTATATATAGAAAATGTAAACACAGAGTTAGCTGATGTTGTCAAAAACTCTAAACTCTAGTACCTCAATATTAATCGAGAAACTTCAATCATGTGTTGTAAATATCGAATAATTATAAAAATTATAGCTTGAACGTCATAAAAATTCAACATTTTAAATGTATGGTTATAAAAGTGCCGCTAAATTTTTAAAAACAATTGAAATATATCGCTGGTTTTAAAGCTGCCCCTCTGTTATTGCTGTAAGTCCCTTTTGTTGTAGTGTATAGATATAAATCTTAAATCGTGTGTGAACAGGTCCAAAGCTCGGAAAGTTGCTAGCAATATTTCCGGTAATGTACCTCTCAGGGAGCACATGTATCATGCTGATTATAAAAGGAGCTGGAGTTATGGAGCTTCTCTTCAAGCTAATGTGTGAAGGTGGGGCTACATGCGATGCCAAGTCTTTGACCGGCGCAGAGTGGTTCCTGGTCTTCACTTGCATGGCTATAGCATTGGCTCAGCGACCTAACTTGAATTCCATTGCTGGGTTCTCACTAGTTGGTGCCATTAGTGCCATTGGTTATTGTACTCTGATTTGGGCACTGCCCATTTCCAAGGACAGGCCCAGTGGTGTGTCTTATGACTCACGCAAGGGGGGATCTAGCATGGCCGGAATGTTTGATGTCTTGAATGCAATTGGTATAATTATGCTTGCTTTCAGGGGTCATAATCTTGTGCTTGAGATTCAGGTATGAACGAGAAATTGTTTCATTAATGAAAATTATTATTAGCTCACTCTGATAATTATACGGAAATCATTAATTTTTGTAACGAGTGTAAGTTCATGTTCAATCTCCAATGAGCCAAAGCTAAGTTGAGATTAGTGTGGTCTTTCCCATTAAGATATCTAGAGTTTAAATGTAGAAAAACCCGTAGTTCAATCTGATTATTGTTATTGTCGGGCAACTTAAATTACAGGTATATACTTCTATAGAAACCCTAACGAAATGTACTAAAACAATGTCATGGCCTGTTCTTGTCGGGGCTCGGCAAAGCTCATCAATAAATGTATATTTCTCGGCTTCCGCGTTAAGATAGAGAATTCAATGTTTGACGTTGCAGGGAACATTGCCTTCAAGCTTAACAAATCCATCCAAAAGGACGATGTGGAGAGGGGTGAGTTTCTCGTACATCATAATAGCCATGTGTCAGTTTCCTCTAGCAATAGCTGGATTTTGGGCTTACGGAAACAAGGTAAAAGCACAGTTTTCTCTTCTACAATCAATTTATTGCATCCCATAAACCTGAAAACTGTAGCATAACGAGTAATGACATATCATTTAACTACTTTTAATTTCAGCATCACGGCCAATCTTTTGCATATGCTAATTATTTGCTACTGTTTTGGCAGATACCCTCGAATGGAGGGATGTTGACTGCATTCATGCAGTTCCATGGACACGACACATCAAAATTTGCGAGGGGCCTTGTATACTTGCTCGTAGTGATTAACTGCCTTAGTTCATTCCAAATCTACGCCATGCCAGTTTTCGACAACCTGGAATTTAGATACATTAGCATGAAGAACAAGCGATGCCCATGGTGGGTTCGCGTTGGTTTTCGGCTCTTCTTCGGAGGATTGGCCTTCTTCATAGCTGTGGCTCTTCCTTTCCTGCCAAGCCTAGCTCCTTTAGTTGGAGGGATCACCTTACCCTTAACACTGGCTTATCCATGTTTCATGTGGATTTCAATCAAGAAACCCCATCAAAAGGGCCATGGTGTCATGTGGTGTCTTAATCTAGGACTTGGATGCTTAGGCGTTGTTCTATGTGTTCTACTGGTAGTTGCCGCGGCACGGAATTTGGCTATCAAAGGCCTACATGCCAGCTTCTTCAAACCCCTATGACAACTGATAATTACAGAGCAAAATGCTCCAAATGTTTACAGCATATCAATACAAGTAAAAGATCAATTATGGACTCGTTGACATCGGTTCATATAAATTGTTAATAACTCATTCACCTATCCACTGAATCTGAAAGTAACGGTGCCAAATTCATCATCGATCGCATTCCAAAGTTTACTTTCATGGTGGTAGATTTTATTTGGCTAAAAGATTATTTAGTATTATGATAAATTATGCTTTTTTTCTTGCTGCTAAGAAAAAATAGTTTTGCTATCCAAATATATTTTTTTACACATAATTTCATTTCAACTTTTGATATGATAAAAAAACTGAAATAACATTTTTTTTATTTATGAAGATCTATTTTTTATTTATTTTATATGTAAAAATGTATCTCATAATAATTTTAACTAAATATGTATTTTTTAAACTACAACTAAAATATAACCACAAAAGCTACAATTTAATATTAAATGTACTAAAAAGATATTTAAGAATGTGTTAGTGATTGTTTTTTAAAATAATTAAATTAATATTTTTAAAATTTTTAAATTTTATTTTTATCATTAAAATAATTTAGAAATACTAAAAAAAATTTAATATAAAGCGAAATAAAAGAAAAAATCAACGACTAGCATGTTAAAGCTCGTTCTCAAATACACCATAATACTAATTATAAAAAGCTTGACAATGCCATCTAGACTTGTGAAAAGCAAACCGTCATCTCCAATACCACTTGTTGGACCCAGGCAAAGGCATTATCAGCTTATGATCAAATCCCAATAAGTGAACAGCAAGCACCAGATTCCCAGCCAACCACCAACATTAAAAAATTATTTAGAATTGTAGTTGTAATTTAAAGTATTTTTTATTTAAAAATATATTTAAAAAATAATTTTAAAATCAAAATACTAAAATAATTCTAAAATGTAAAATATAATTTTTAACATAAAATAATTTAATTTTTTTTTAAAATATAGATTGTACTGCATTTCCAAGCATTTCTAAACGGAGTTTAAAAGGGAGAACGGCACACTGCAAAACCATCAAAACCCCTTAAAGGATTAGCTCCAATTTTATGTTCTAAACATTTGTCACAATGTGGTACTGAAATTTACATTGCATACATCTCCCAGTTCTTCAAGACCAAATGAAATGAAATGAAGAAGATAACAGCACTGTGGATGGCAAAAGAATGAACCGAACATATACCCCTTGCAGCTGTGCATCATTCAGTGATAAACACATGCATTTGTCAACCTGTGGGGCTTGCCGAGTTTCTGGCCAGTAAGAGCAACAGTGCATCTAACACGCTTATGAAACTTTGACTTCACCAGTCTTCCCAAAATGTAGGCCCTGGACCTCAAGACAAATGTCAGGTTCAGAGGCAGGGCAACTTTGTTACCATGCGCTCTAGCATTAGAGAGAAGGGGCAGCCCTCCATATAGGGGAACTTGCGAACCATGCACCACCGTTGCCACCGTCCTCTTGCTCTTCCTCGATTGAGAAAACTTCTTCATCTATTTTACCAATCCACAACAAATTAATTATATCCCAACAATAAGCTGAAATAAGAAAATCACACAGCATTTGGACACCATTTTTCACATCTAAATCTTCACAGAACTCGATCGTTGCATGCTTCACAGATCACAAAATCGAATAATTTGGTTGGTTGTTTTATGAAATATGAAGGTCCACATGCATGAATCGATATGTAAATGTATCTAAAAGGCTCGAGTTGCAATGACATAATTTACTCTCCCAGTCGAACAAACATTCTGGGACACACAGAGACGCTTTAGAATCCCACACGAGTCCAGCAAGTGGGAGAGACTTTTCAGATATAGAGATTTTTCTTTCCAAGGCCCACAACTCAATGCAGATAAAAATTGACATAACAGCCAAGAAAAAGAAAATAAAGAAACCAGATCCATCCGACTCAAGTCATTGGGTTCCACACCATCTCCGAATAAAGAGAGGCTGTCCTTGCAGTCTTTTACAGGCACTCCAGATTTGTAGTCAATAGCCTTCCAACAATCCTTCCATGACTCGGAAGTCCTGGCTTAGAACAGCCCCGTGAAGGTTAAAGTCCTACTACCAAACAAAATCTTGAACCTCCCACTGCCACCCACAATGACCATCCTATCCTTCCTCCATTAGCTATTATTGAAAATTAAGGATAAAGCAGGTTTTGGAGAGACGAGAGCACAACAGAGTTTACCTGTCCAGAGGCAAGTTTCAGCTGGAAATAGTGTATCTCCAGAGGGGTTGAGGTGACATGGACGGCAAAAAAGGTAGCAGGGTTTTTGTAATGAATCTTGACCGTAGAATTCAAGGACAGCATATCTGTTGGCACTCCCGATTGATCATTCCCTGCCTGAACATAAAAATTCTCGAACACCATGCTCTGCTTAAAAAGAACGCACAAAAAAAAAAAAAAAAACCTTTCTGATCACTTTTTATTTTTTATTCCTCAATATGAATTACTTTAATTATTTTTAAACAAAATCAAATAAATTACTGACATGATTACATGATTAAAGGCTAAAAATAAGGGATTACGCAAACCTAAAAACAACAGCCTGATCCTAATCCACATTTATAGTACCCTGTACCCTGGGCATCATCACCAACTATTCCATTTCCCCACAAGACATACAGAAACTGACTCGTTTATTTGACACGGCAGAGAGCCACCGAGTCAACTCGGTAAATATTTCGAAGAAAATAAACTTACCTTGACTGAAATCTCAGGCTCGTAAGCCTTACTGGCACCCCACAAGATCAAACAAAAGACAGTGAACAGCAGAACAAAGAACAAGAACCCAATGAAATACAGTCTCACATTACGTGCACCACTCCCCCAATCATCACCATCCTTATCACCCTCAGCACCTTCTTGAACAGCACCATCTTGGTCACCAATCCTTATATGTTTCCACGCAGATAAACTTCTTGGGATCTTGAGTGAATTGGAGAATATTGACGCAGAAGACTCGCGAGAATGGTGAATTGGTGAACTGTGGTAGTAAAGGTGTGCTGGTGACACGGTCGGGCTTGATCCATAAGACATTTTCTCCGGGTCATGGTTTGATGGACTCTGAACGTAGTATATCGGCCTTCTTGGTGACCTTGGTAGCCATGAGTTGTCAAGACTGGTTCCATCCGAGTCCGTCTTGGCGTGCATCTTTTCCAACCTTGAAAACTGCTTCGAGAGAGATAAATGAGAATTAAGGAGACGTATGTGTTGTTTGTTAGGGTTTGTGGGGTTTGGTATAGGAGAGGGAAGGTAATTATGACAGGATGCCAAGAAAGGAATGGCCAGGTAATATCAGACAAAGAAAGCAGACACGGCGAGAAGGATTTATCAGGGGTTTTGGTTTTTGAATCACGAGAGGGAGTCAACATGGAAAGTGTAATAAAATCTGCTGCCAAGTTAGATGGGTCCCGCCCTCGTATAGGGCCTACGCTAATGAATTTGAGCTAAGACTCGCCTGGATCTAATCCTTAGAGCCTGATGGATTGCTCCGTAATCCCTTCGAGCACTTTTATATCCTCGGGGGAACGAAGTTTTGATGGGTGTGAGCCCATGAAGAGCATCGAAGTTTTGATGGTTCTGAGTACTATATCCTCAGGATAACCTAAGTTTTGATGGGTGTCAGCCCATGGAGAGCATCGAAGTTTTGATGGTTCTGAGTAAATCTAGGCATGTTAAGGTTATTGATCAGGAGATCGTAAGATTATGATTTCTTCTCTCGTAATTAATTTTTTGATAATGATAAAACTAAAAATTGAATCAAAATCTAAGTGGTTCGAGAGTGACTACTAATATATTGATATGAAAATGTTTTAAGAAATATTGATCATGAGTAACGAAACCATGTGAAATGAAAACCGAAAAATTACATTTAGCATATTGTTTCATATTAGAAAAATAATCATTTACATAATTAATCAACAAAAAAAATTTAATATAAAAAAATAATCAAATTAACATCATATATATTAGATACGAAATGATCGAATGACAATTCAATCTTCCATATATATCTTCTTTTTCTTGGTAAAAAAACCTTTTTTCCTTGTAAACCAAAATTGAACCTAAAATCATCAGATTTTGGCCAAATAATTTATGTGCTTATCTTGAAATAATGAGATCCTCTCATTGAGTGCCATGTCATTTTACTAAAGATCACTTTAAAAACCAAAACTTGAACTGGATCCAAACTCGAAGTCTCTCAAGTCTTTGTTCCTCCAATCTCTTCATCAAGTTAGAATCTTTTTTGTCTTTCACTTCGCATTTTCGTTGTTCATTGTAGTGCTGTAGGTAACTCTCTCTTTCATCTTTTTATATGTTTCCCTTTGAAGAACTCATTGTTTCATATTGTAAGAAGTTAGATAATCGTACTGTGGCTCCTTGTTTATTTTTATGTTTTATAAATATTTAAAAAAAAATTAAAAGTTTTTATTTTCTTCTTTACATTAAATTAATATTTTTTTATATTTTAAAATTATTTTAATGAGCTAATATAAAAAATAATATTTTCTATGAGAATTACAAAATAAAAGTTCGTTTTGTACCGAAGACAATGTGTCAAGTGAAATACCAAGTTTTTGTTCTTTTTTTCATTTATTGCAAAGTTGTAATATTAGTATTGAATGGCTCTTTAGTCATTAAATAAAAATATAGGAATTCTGTAAATAATGAGATATTTTTTATTGATTTTTTTAAATAAATATTCTTTATATCATTAAAAAATAATTATAATATAAAAAATGCTAAATAAATAGAAAAAAGTCACACATAACAGTTGTTAATTAAAACACAAACAAAATAATTATTTTAAGAAATTCATAGAAATGAAGGAATTAATTAAAAAATTAAAAATTAAAAAAAAAAGAAAAAAAAAAAGAAGAAGAATTAGATCAAGCCTAGCACCTAGCCCATTAAAAAATAGCCCGAGCACGAGCCTGCAGAGTTAAGCTCAAGCTTGGAAGCTTTTATTTTTTTTTAAAAAAGTTAATGGGATGAACAAGATGTTGTTTGTCCCAATTATTTTTTTAAAAAAAGGCATGGTCTGCATAAACATACGATGCGTTGTTTGAAAATCCCTAAAATCTAGCCATTATAATGCTATAAAAACGAGATTCTAGATTTTTTTTTTATTACAAACAAACTTATTTTCAATTTATTTTGGACTAAAAAACATCTTAGAAATCTTATTAAATCAATTTATAACCTTCAAAATATATAAAAAATTGACACAAAATTTAAAATCAACCTGAAATCCAAGAACTTCTCAAGTTGAGATATATATTTTTAAATAATTTCAAAATAAAAAAAAATCTCATCTCAAGTCCCTTCATCATATGAAACCAATTGAAACAAAAATTGATTGTTTAGAAGATCGTAATCATCACTAATATCCACTCTTTCTCCGTGCTAAAATCCACCAACTTCCTTTCTCTTTTCCCATTATAAATAACTGAAAATTTAAAAAATAAATTTTAGTATTAAAATTATTTTTTTAAAATTAAAGGGACCAATTATCTAATAATTAAAAATCATTGAGACTAAAATAGGTTTTATCACAGATTTTAAATTTATCACCAATTCTGCACACGTCTTTTTCACTTCACTCTCTATCTTTTAAGTTTACTCTTTCTCTTAAAAAACAAAAAAGTAATTAGATGTTAATTTGCGTTAAAAAAATAAATCATATAAATTTAAGTTAACTCTTTCTCCTAAAAAAAATGTAATTAGATGTCAAATTTGCTTTTAAAAAATAAAGCATATAAAATAAAAGTTGGAAAATCAAACTAATTTTTTTTTTTTAAATCACTACTCTATTCTATAGTATTATGTGAGGAGGTGGGAATAACGCTAAAAACTGATCTAAAATGTATAAATAATTACTTATTATTATTATTATATTGCTGGATCCCAATCATTTCCTTGTATGTAAGTGCATCCGTGTTGATATCCATCTAACGCAAAATATACTTTTTTCCATCACTGTTGAACCTTTTATATAAAGTTTGGATGTTATACAAGCGTTATCTTTATTAAAACTTGAAATCTTTGCTTGAATCGATGAACGTTGACAATTATAAATAATTAACAACGAAAAAAATCCTGCTAGGATCGGTTTGGAAATATGATTGAATTTATATTTTTAAAAAATTTAATTTTTTATATTTTAAATTATTTTAATATACTGATTTTAAAAATAAAAAAAATATTATTTTAATGTATTTTGATATAAAATACATTTTAAAAAACAATTACAACCACACTTTAAAATTAATATTTATATTAAAATGTCTATTCTTACTTTTAATGGGTTAAACTTAAAAAAAAATGCTAAATGAAAAGATAAAAATAAAAAGGTACTGTTTTAATTTGTTTATTTGTTTATTATTTTTGAAGAAAAAGCTAAAATCATTAAAAATAAATAAAACGTTTATTTATTCTAGTCCAATCTAATTGACTTTTCAAATAATTTTTTAATTAAAATATACTTGATAAAAAAACTATATTTATATTATTTAAAATATTATTTTATCAATTTACCTCTTTAAAATAGCATCCCCATCTGCCGTTCTTGTTTATATATTTTTATTCTTTATTTCAATGAACTTCTGTGCTGTTGTTATGGCGTAGCTTCTTCTTCTTTTCTTGTTTTGTGCTTTGATCCATTCGTTATCACCGCCATCCTTCCATTTTACCAAATACTCCAAATCCCTCCCTTTCCCTCTTTTCTCCAATATTTCCTGTACCTCAGCGTACTCGAATATTTCCTCTTCTGAAATCCTTATTATACTTTCTAACCCCAATCTTCTTCCAAATTGCATTTGGGCGTCAATCTTAAAATTTCCTTAGCCAAATCAGAGGGAGAGTTAATCCTCTACCATCCTTCACCTCAGGATCAGCTCCTACGTCAACCAATAACTTGACGACACCCGGCCTGACATACCCAGCTGCCATATGAAGAGCCGTCAAGCCACCACTATTGTCTCTATGATCCAAGGCAGCTCCAGCTTCTGCTAAAAGCTTAACACACGGCTCAGAGCCGAGCCCACATACAAAAAGCAAATCTGTTCTTCCGTCACTGTCCACAGCATTGACGTCACGGAGTCCATCTTCATTTTAAAGACGCCTCGTTGGCTTTCTTGGCTGCCGTCCACCATGGAGTCTCGTACTCCGCCACCACGTCTTTAGCTACGAAATCTGATGGGACCCACAAAGGGGTATGACCGTCTTTCCACTCTAGCAAGAACTCCATGCCTGTACCATCTTATTGTTGTTATTTTTTAAAAGTAATTTCCACTTCAAAATATATAAAAATATTTTTTTATTTTTTAAAAATTATTTTTAAAATTAATATATAAAAAAATATAAAAAATTAATTTTTTGAAAAAAAAGGTACAACCCCGTTTCAAAATGCTTACTAAATTTAAAACACATTTTTCATGAAGCAGGTTTTACTTTTTTTTTTTAATTCATTTTTTTAAAAACATTATTTATTTTTATATTTTAAAAATATTTTTGAAAAAAATTAAATTTTTTCAATTTATTTCTTTACTTTAAATTATTTTTTATTATTATTTTAAGATTATTTTAATACGCTGGTATTAAAAATAATTTTTAAAAATAAAAATACATTATGTTAATATATTTTGAAATAAAAAATATTTTAAAAAATAATCACAATCATATAATTACTATATATATTAATATACATATTTTTTATTATACATAATCTTTAATTATAATTTTTATTAACCAAGTATATAAATTTAGTTTACTTTAATTAACCATATGATTTTTTAAAATTTAATTTTTTCAAACGACAGCCACACAAACATATTTATTAGCTATGTGATTTTTTTGGAAAAAAAAAAGTTTATTTCTTGCGGGTAAGAACCAATACGACAACAAATTGGGTCGTCCTCCGCCACCACGTCTTTAGCTACGAAATCTGATGGGACCCACGAAGGGTATGACCGTCTTTCCACTCTAGCAATAGCCAATACGACAACAAATTGGGTCGTTTATTTCAAGAGCAGGTTATGGCCCAGGGTGCTATGGGCATGCAGGGAACAAATCCCATCTGGCCATCTCGCCTTCTTTTCATTTCTTATTTTACTCCTTCCCATGGGCAAGGAAGGATGCTCCAGACGGCAAAGGTAAAAGGGTAATAGCATTATTAATATATCAATTTTGATTTTCTTGATTTGAATATATAGGTAAAAGGGATAATAGCATTATTAATTTATCAATTTTGATTTTCTTGATTTGAATATATTTCTTTTGAAACTGGAAAGAAACCTGGCGATGCTTTCTTAAGGAAAAGAGCTCTGAATTAGAAAAAAAATAAGA